CCACGTGGAAAAAGAACGCATTGTGTACAGCGCAGAACGCGAATGGCGATAGAGACTACGGTAGTACAGCGATGTAAGGGTTGTAAATACTACAACTTCAATAACTTTTTTATATATTGACTCCATATTTCGTGACGCGACAATTTCCAATTTTTTTTGGGTAAGTTGTGAATCACTTTTATATCATATCTTATAGTGGCATATATATAACAATACTATTATCACTTTCAAAATCTGAACTGCTGGTTGACAAAGAAATATTTTTATTTTTAAGCACGTTTTATCATTTTCTAGAATCTTATAAAATTGAATGAATTGGCTAGAATTTGTAGATCCAATATCATTTGAAACAATGACATTGCACAGGTCCCTTCTCTTGTTTGTGATCGATTAGTTTTTTAATTGTATATCCGGACCCTGTGGAGCCTTTTACCTAGTAGCGTCCATTTAATCCGTGCTGATGTCTATTCCATCATTTACGGCACGCTAGAAATTCCATAAATTTAATTGTGACAAAAATAAATTTTAAAAAAATGTGAAAGTTATCTGGATTTTTGTTGGACGTGTTAATTGCGCATGTAAACACAAATATATATTGATAAAATTTAGGTGATGAAACAGGTTAAGCAATAAAGTAATAGTCATTTTACTACAAATACCATTTCTGCATAGTGTTGAAGAAAAGTATGCCTGTGGCGGCTCGTAATATTGAGATTAGGTGAAGCATATTTATTAATTGATTAAAAAAGAAAAGAAAAAGCGCCGCAGGCAAACATTTTCTAATTTTCAAGGTTAAACGGCTTTAAATGAATCTGGAAATTTTTAGTTGCATTTGCAATATGTATTACCAAAAAACTGACGTTCGCGAGGAGGATTTTATAAAAAATAGAAAAATCCTTTTTGTTTTCAATTTTCCATCTGGAAAATGGCGTTTCCAATAGAATAATATACTGGATCATACATAGCAAACATTTCTATAATTATTGATATAAAACAAATATTAACAAAGTACCGTTATAATTGTGAACTGGGCGACGTATCGTATAAACTGTTAAAAGGCAGGCGATGGGCGATGGCGATGCTGTTTCAATTTCCGCGTCACTCGTTCCCCCACACCGTAGTTTACTCACGTGTTGGCCGCCCCGTTGCCATGACAACCGCTGTAAACAACGCTACGAAGTAAAGCGGAATATAAATTGTTTTCGATCCGCGTCACTTGCTTACGCTATACGATGTATGTACGAGGTTGATGCTCGCCCTCAGCGAAGGCAATGTTTTTTTAGAAGGCGTTCACCGCGCAACTATTCTGTTTATTTCTGCGTATAATACAGACAAACACAATACATTTTCAATATAGAATTACATGTACCTAAATTATAAAATTTATATAAAATTAAAAATAACTTTAAATTGCACAACCAAACGGAAATTTTAGGTGAAGCGGTCCGTCACTTGCGTTACCTGGCGAGCCGCCACTGAAGTATGCAATTATTATTTCCTTTCTAGCAGAAATATACATGTATATTCTAATGACACAATATGCTAAAGCACACAATTCACTTTCATTAAAATGAGACGTTAGTAAATTTATTTTAATATAATTAGTAGTTACATAAATTATTTTTAAATATCTTAGTGACGCCACTGACTTTACACACAAATAAAAAATTAGTCAAATCATACTGTTTATTTATTCTTGTTCGAAATATCACGATATTTACTTAGGTATATTATTTCTCGTCATTTCAGATACCTATGTTATAAGAATTTTCTTATTACTATTTTGCCGAATTTATTCCGATCTCGATTCCAACCACAGACTCCAATCTTTTCGTACACACTGTATACAGTGCTTTTATAATTGGTATATCTTACTATTTTTATACGGGTTATCCGATTAATACCATTTGACATCTAGTGATAAAAGGATATCTATCCCGTTTGATAAAAGGAATAATTATATGTATTGTTGCCAGATTGCTATTTTTTCAGATATAACAGGAAACATTTTTTTAACTAAACATTCTATATATTTTTACTAATTGTATGCTTATAGCAAATTATTTTGGATATACATATCTCTCTTACTAAGTATTAGAGACAAACTTTAAATATATCTCGATAATCGTAAGAAAACGTTGTATAAATGTTCCACTATAAACAACAGTGGAAATATATAGGGTGCTCCATTTTTTTGCTTTCATTAATTAGGAGATGTCTTTTAATGAATAGATATCAAAATTTGACATTAATCAGACAATCCCTTATAAAAGTTATAGGGTTATAGGTTGTAGTTATAGACAATTAAAAAAAATTATAACATAATTTGTTTAAAGAACTAAAATTAATGTGGCGAAATTTTCAGTATCTTGAAATACATTTAAGATAAAAGTTATTAAAATACTGAAGTTCCTATGGTGTACAGGAGAACAAATTGTTTCACTTAAACCTATGTTTGGTAGATAAGATTGACTGACTGCTTTTGAAAAGATTTCGATAGGAAAAGTTATTTAAAATTTGCATACCGGGTAGATTTTTTAAAAGTCGGAACTTTGGAAGACGTTATAAATATTTTTACAAATTCTTGCAGCAGCTCACAAAAAATGTAAAATGTTTAGCTTAATTTTAATGGTGGATTCTACATCACAATTATCAAAACACAGCACTTCGTTTTTAATATATTAATTAGGTCAAAATTTACGTGGTATTACCATTTCTAATCAGTTAACCCTCAGTTAAAAAGTATTTTCAAACTTTTTCCACATTTAAAAATTCTTTCATTTTACTTATTCATTTTTATTTTTTGTAATGAACATATTGCCCACACAAAAATCAAAGATGTGAAAAATAACAATAAGTTTCTAAACATTTTTGCAATGTGTGATTTATTTATATTATTAAATCAAAACTCAAAAATCACTTAATACTACTATACAGGGTAGGAAAGTACCGATGGTCTACAGTGTAGGAAAGTACCGATGGTCTATCAGAAGTTACGTGAGAGCGATAAAGTTAGTTTTAGAAATCCATGTGATAGACAAGGATGGCTATAATGAAGGCGTCTAATAGTCAACGCCCATTTCGCCCTTCCACAAATAAGATCCACTTCTTATTTGTGGAAGGGCGAAATGGGCGTTGACTATTAGACGCCTTCATTATAGCCATCCTTGTCTATCACATGGATTTCTATGACTTACTTTATTGCTCTCACGTAACTTCTGATAGACCATCGGTACTTTCCTACACTGTATGTATACATACCGTGTTTGGAAACCTAGGAATTATTTTCTAAGGATAACCCTATTTGTCATATTAAACCATATGAAATAAAATAGTAAATACTTTGCAAAAAAATGGGAACATATTGAAAACTGCTGGAATCAAGAGGACATCATATTGTCAGTTAGGTGTTGGATGTCATCAAATGGGGTTGCAACTGTAGCGTAGTCTTTGATCGAGTATTACAAATCATGCAGCATTTGGTACATGACAAAGTGGAAAACGATAGTCGCGAATATATGTTCTGCAGCCGCAGCATTTTGTCTACATTCACCGTTTATCAGTAGTACATCAATTCATTCGCTGTTACCGTAATTATGCACCAATAGAATGAAATACTAACCCTTAACACTAACACTCCACTTCGACAATTTTACCAATACCTATTAGACTAATACCGAAACACTACTTATAATAATTCGAGCGGTAGATGTACGTCGTAACAAAAAAAACAGCCAACAAAACATTCCAAATATATTAATAAGTATTCAGTAGTCGGTGGTATTAAATAATAAATAAATGAATCAGTCTGAATGGACATTGCTTGATGAAGGAGCAAATAGTAAGTTATCAACAACCCGGCTAAAATATTTTGTCTATTTTTTTTTCTGCCATCGGCCTTTCTTTCACCAGGACCTATCACCCATTAAAAATAAAACTCAAATTTCATAAACACCCTGCATTTTCACGCTTTGTATTTCTTCCTAACTGACGGTTGATTGTATGTGAACACATTTGTAGAAAGACTTAAACGATCTGTCAACCTTTGGTATTCCCCTGGTGGACTTCGGTTGTGTAGGCCGAAGTGCCGGCGTTCAGGGTCAGTCAGGAGAGAAGCGGAGCCCGTTTTGATGCGGGTGAAACGTCGGTGGAGTGTATTGATCGGTGAGGAGGGCGGAAACCGACAGCCTTGCTCCACCGCGTGATTCGCCTCCAATGCCTACCTTCGGATGTTGTCAAATCTACTAAAAAATCACAAGATGTACCAATTTTCGTATGAACACATCGATAATCGATATATAGATAAGTAGCGTCGATAAGGGAATCCTTATCATTGAGGCTGTTGAACTTTGCGTTTGTATCAGACGATGCACCTAAGTGGTTATTTCAAATCTTTGATCTAAAGTAGAGAAATCAAGGTGTTGAACTAGTCGTATTGAACAGTAAGTGTTTAAAAATCAGCTTTATCAAATAATATCTCAATTGTTGCTGAAAGTTGCTTTTCACAGAAAACATAGTAATTTTATAGTCGAGATAAACCCAAAAATAAAAAAATAAAATAAATTACAGTAATCACACCCGTAATAAATCCACCTGCGAAAAAAGAGGTTAATTTCATTTAAACTTGAAATACTATTATAAGTGATTAGATTTTTATAATACAAAGAATAAGGCTAACATTTTAAAAACCAGATTAAATTGAGAGCAGAAATAAAATGTTTCTAAAATACAAAAATTAAGCACAAACAATTTATAAATTCATAACTAAATATTTTACAAATTGTAAATAAAGATATATTTAAATAAATACATTTCTCTATTTCATTTATTCCCTTCACAATTTCCTAACAGTTGTAATTAATTAAGATGCTTCGGTATAGTAGGTATAAAAATCTACATATTATGAAGTCAAGATAAGTCTACCGTACGAGACGTTATTTGAAAAAATCCGACAACGCCGGCGCTTGTCATAGGATAAACGTGCTCTGCCAGTGTCTACTAAATACAGTCTCGATACTCGAGAAACGTATATCTCATTTTGTTCCACTACGAACATGTATATTGATGCAATCCGAGGGACCGAGGAAACGTGATTGCAGAACCCGATAACTGTTTGTGTAAGTGGTGTTTTAGTAAGCAAAACTTTGTTGTTAACCCGATAGCACGTTTGTGATCGTTGTGAGGTTATGTTTTATGTTTGGAATAACCTTGGTCTAGGAGCGATGTGTGAGTATTTCGTTTCAGTTTTTACACTCGAGAAAGGGTAAATAAAGTGAAGCTAAACGACATTCTTGTATTGTTTTAATGTTTACTGTACGTGGATAAGTGGTATGCGTAGTCTGTACGGCAAATAATAAGCGCGCGGTAAATATCAAGACGATATGAAATTTCGTTGAAAGTTATTTATATAGGTACTTATGTATTTGTGTACTGTGGAGGCGCGTGACTTAAGAAAATATAAGCGTATGCGATAGGTTATTTTTGTATAAAAATTGGCCTGATCGGATTTTTCCCGCGCATTCTTTATTTAAATCAAAACACATTGAAAACGATATGTATTATTAATAGAAGAGCAACCCATCCAGGAATAGAAAAATAATTACCCTAATTATGCACATATTTATTTTTTTAATTACTACGTGCAAACACAATCATAGGAAAAGTAAAATATGATTTATTAATTAATTTTTCAAGAGGAATTTCATATTTTATCAATAAAAAATACAACTAAGCGTCGCTCTCCACATATACCTACTCTGTTTCTTATAGAAAACATACCTACTGTATATTTTTGGATATTATATCCGAATGCTTTCTTGGGATTACAGAGGTTTTCCTAGATCTATCCCTTTTATTAATGAAGATATGAGCAAGGGAACGTCATGTCTAAAGATTAACAATAATCTCTTCCAAACACATTACACTTAGGCACATTCTTATTATGGCCATTTTTCCCGGTATCAAAATAAAACCAAGAAATAAAAAATACAAATATTCAAACAATGCAGTTTTCTTTTATAAGAAAATCATTGATACTCTACAGGCTGTTACAAATTTGCTTCTCACTACAGGGATTTCGGAAACGGTAAGAGATACGAAGTAGCTTAATTGGGGGCAAAGTTGTATAATCAGGGGACCAACATTAAACCTCTAAAAATCAAGGCTAACATAATTAGTTTTCGAAATTTTTGAAAAAACAAATTTTGTATTTGTTTCATATTAGCCTTGTCTGAGGTGATATTGAAAAAAGAAGAACACTTTCTCATGGCAACTTTGTGTCCTCTATCAAATGGCATAATCAATTTTCATGTGTAATGTTTCGTTTCTCCAAGGCCATCATCAACTTCATTTTTTTAAATACGACCCTGGAAATTTTATAACATTTTTTGCAAACTTCATGACCCCCAATACTGTATTGTCTCATTCCAAATCAGATTCAAACGTTTTGTCTCGAAAAATGTATTCGTTCCAAAGTATCTATTTTTTTAGATTTCTATGTTTCTTGAATTCTCGTACACTCTAAGTGCTTTAGACTCTTTGAAATGCACCTAGTGATTTAAACTATTACCATCACACGTTACAATAAAACATTATTAGAATTTTAATCTCGTGTCCATAATTATTTCTAGATTTCTCGAGTGCTCAAAATTCAAACAAATTTCGATCTAATTTTTTTTCAGGATATTCATACAAAAACATCTGACATGCTCCTTTACAGTTGCGCTTACAGGTATAATAAATTCCGATTATATTAGGCTTATAACTTCATTTTCAACATTTGCCAAAACGGAAACTTTTTGAACATTGATTAAAATACTTAATTAATATTCATTTGGAGTTTTGGTTGTTCATATACATTTTTAAGAATTAATTTGTCATAATTAAATTAAAATTGTAATAATTGTAGGTGAATTTTACAGGGTTTAACGACACTTAGAGTGTACGATAATTCAATAAACATAGAAATCTGAATAAAAAATTTAGATAAAGAAACGAATTGAAAATGAATTTTTTGAGACAATACGTCTGAATCTGGTTTGGACTGAGGCAGTACAGTATTGGGGGTCAAGAAGGCTTGCGAAAAATGTAATAAAATTTCCAGGGTCGTATTTAAAAAATAAAGTTGATGATGGTTCTGGAAAGACGAAACGTTACATATAAAAATTGATTATGTCATCCGATAAAGGGCAAAAAGTTGCCATGAAAAAGTGTTCTTCTTTTTTCAGTTCACCGCAAACAAGGCTGATATGAAACAAAAACGGATTTCCAAAATTTCGTTTTTTTTTTCAAATATTTCGAAAACTAATCATGTCAACCATGATTTTTTAGAAGCATTATGATGATTATGCAACTTTGCTCCCATTTAATCTTCGTATCTCTTACCGTTTTCGAGATCCCAGTAGTGAGAAGTGAATTTGTAACAGCTTGTATAATAGCACAGGTCAACAACGGTCAAGAAGTAGACACACTAATATGCATTCTCGAAGGATTTTGGTGTGCTGAATTCGAATCTGCCTGCAGAATTGCTCTATCACGTCAGTTTTTTGAGATATCCTAACCTAAATGTGCAAAAAACACTATTTTTCGACATATTTGAGGTTATATGCCATCTATTCTTTTTCAAAAACATACATATAAATTAAAAGTACAAGGCTCCCTCCTTCGAATGCCGTTGAGTTTGCTCAAATATCTTTTTTTTTTCGTTGAGATATCACATGTTGAAATTTCCAAGTTTATCAGGTTCTTAATATGCGAAAATCTACAAATATGACGAAAAATAGTGTTTTTAGCACTTTTAGGTCAGGATATCTCAAAAACCTGACGTGATAGAGCAATTCTGCTGCCAGATTCGTATTCAGCGCACCTAGATCCTTCGGAAATATATATTCAAGTTTCTGCTTCCAAAAAAAAATTAAATTTTGTTGGTCTGTGTAGTCAGACAACCAACTTTAGCAATCAAAATACAGATGTCAGCTATAAAATTCATATCACCCTTGTTCGTAGTATTAATAAGGATAAGAAAGATTTCGTAGGAGGTATATCCAAAATAATAAAAAACGCATTAAAATAAGAAGGAATTATCTGTTAATTGTCAAAAATTTAAGAATTATAAGTCTGAAAATAAAACCAAAAAAAAACGAATTAAAATAGGAAGNATTGCAGATCAGAAACTTCATACTCAGAAACCTTCAATACATACGAACTCAAACTCACAAACTCCAAAACCACAAATCCACAAACCCCAAACCCACAATCCCTAAACCCACAAACCCCAATCCCACAAAACCCGAACTTAAAAACTCCAAGCTTACAAACCTCAAGCCCACCGACTCCAAACCCACAAACCGTATGGGTATGAAATTTCTGAATTGCAATCGACTGCTTGGATGTGTAAGGGATCCTTAGTAGATTTTCGCGTATTAAGAAACTGAGAAACTTAAAAATTTCAACATGTGATATCTTAACGAAAAAAAAGATACTCAACGGCATTCGAAGGAGGGAGCCTTGTACTTTTAGATTCAATGTATTAGTTTTTTGAAAAAGAGTAGACGGCATTACTACATAACCTCAAATATGACGAAAAATAGTGTTTTTAGCACTTTAGGTCAGGATATCTCAAAAACCTGACGTGATAGAGCAATTCTGCTGCCAGATTCGTATTCAACGCACCTAGATCCTTCGGAAATATATATTCAAGTTTCTGCTTCCAAAAAAAATTAAATTTTGTTGGTCTGTGTAGTCAGACAACCAACTTTAGCAATCAAAATACAGATGTCAGCTATAAAATTCATATCACCCTTGTTCGTAGTATTAATAAGGATAAGAAAGATTTCGTAGGAGGTATATCCAAAATAATAAAAAACGCATTAAAATAAGAAGGAATTATCTGTTAATTGTCAAAAATTTAAGAATTATAAGTCTGAAAATAAAACCAAAAAAAAACGAATTAAAATAGGAAGATAGCTTTGGAAATAGCTGCTAGTTATCAAAATTTAAAAAACAATATTAGAATTAAAAATGAACCAAAAATTTTAGACAGAAATACCCACATAAAAATGCAGTTTTGTCTTAAAAGAATGTTAATGTCCAAAATAACTCAAATGAAAAAGTTATCAAGAAGGCAGTTTTTTTGGAAGTAGATATTAATTATCAAATCCTAAAAAACTGTAACACAATTTGAAAATAAATCCAAGAATTAAAGAAGAAACAAACAATGCAATTCTTCTCGTTTAACAATACGAGTTACCTAGGTACAATGTAGTACGTCCAGAGTAACTCAAATGAAGAATGAATTACAAAAAATAAGGAGAAAGCCTTGGAGGTAACTGTTAATAATCTGAAGAAAAGCTGAAGTTTGAAAATAAAAAGAATTTGAAAAACAAAATATCTTTCGTGGAGTTTTCTTTAGAGAGAATCCAGATACCAGAACATCTATTTATTTTCAATAATTTTTGCTTTGCTGAATATATTATTTAGGCAATACTTGGAAAAGACAGCTGAAATTTTCATGTTCCTCGAATTAAGAAATGGCGCCTTTCTGAAGCAGAATATACCTACGACCTGATTACTTTCCGTTAATTTTACGAATGTGACCTTTAAGGTGAATAAGGAGATATATTTCTTTTTTTTATTTTTTGTATAAAGTGGCAGATTTATTTAATTACTTTCACTCCCATTTACGACCGCGATCCCGAGAGAAGAAACTTTCAAGGACATCAAAGTAAATCTGAAATGGCGAAAGGGTTTCCTTTTGAAGTGGAAAAGTCATTACGAAGTCGCAGTAGACACAAGTAAATTACCGAGAACCGAGAACTGCCACCCGATGCAAATTAGGGTCAACGATCTCGAAAATCACAGAGAGCCGACCGCCCGGCGGACAGGGAGGGGTGGGGAAGCCACGGTTTGATCGTCACTTCTTACTTTCAAGTTTCAAGGCTACCTCGGATGACCTACTTTCCCGCGTAAACAGTAGCGCAAAAAATATTGGCCCCGCTAGAGTTGTCTCGCTTCTTATTAACTTTTATGACTCTGTTTTGAGGAAGTCCCCAGTTAGGATTTTTGATGCTAATGAGTGACATTTATGTTAATGATTAAATACAGAAGTAGGTAGCAGAGAGGGAAATATTATATTAACATTGGAATACTTGATATTTGCACCAAAATTAAAATATGTATCCACATAAATGTAATATACAGGGTGTCCTGTAAGGAATGTAACATACTTC